GAGATTGCGTGATTTTTTTTTCTTTGTGGAGTCTGGTTTCTAATGTTTCAATAAAAAATCAACATGCATAATCTTTATAATATATTTTTAAATTAAAAACAAACCACTAGAAAAATAATTTTAAAGCAGAGAATTTATCATGACATCATTTGTTTAATAACTTTCTTTCCAGTCACCCTTACAATTTTTCCTGGCCCTTTGCAACTTACTTCCTATTTTTTATTCTGAAAATTAATGGGACTCTTTATTAGTGTTTTATCGTTGAGCAGAACCTGAGTATTTCCACAATAAAAATAGATATCCCTGTGATTACAAATCACTCCAGTAATTTTATTGGGCATCAAAGTGTTCTGAGCCTAGAGGAAACACTCTATGTAAAACTTGCAGCTTCATCTGGTAGTGATTTGTCATTTAACATGTTTTGGGCTTGTAGACAGGTCAGCTGTTGCCAAGAGAAAGCAGACAGGGGAATAAAACTATTATCAAAAAAGACTTGGAAATGTACTGAATGAAGCAAACTGAGACAAACTCAAACAAAATCTAGTGTGCAATGGACTCCCAGAAAAACTTAAAGGAGGCTGAGATAAGAATAAAACTCAATCCCTCTAGGCTAGTTTTTTTCCCCCCACACTATTGACATATCAAGTATTAGACTTTCAATTTATTTAATTAATTGGGCAACTAGGAATAGATTTCCTCTAACATTTTAGTCAAATTGATTCTATCACCTGGAAATTTGCTCGTATAGTTACTCCTTCACCACTGTTAGTAGTTTTAAATGTAATTCTAGCAGGTTTATATCCTGAACTCACTATTCCTCAGACTCAGTCAATAAAATAAGTAAACGTGTAAAGAATTTTAAGGAAAAGTCATCATGTAAGTCCAGTAAGAAACCATTATGGGCTGAAAATATCAAGTGTCTTTGGAGGTCAAATATATTTAAGAGTTCTAGAATTTTTAAATATTCTGAATAAAGATAAAAAGATAGTATATAGAAAATCTCTGAAATTTGTAACTCAAAACTATTTGTAACAGATTGAAGTTAAGGTTCAAAAATCATTAGACCTAAAAAGATCCTTTAGGAATTCACCAAACCTCATTGGTTCTTTTGGTACTTTTTAATTGAGGTAATTATAATAAACACTAATGTTTATTGAGTACTCTAAGCTGACACTACTTACTGAAAAGTTGAAGATAGAATTTATGCATTTATTCAATAAATTTCCATTAAACCCTTTTGTCACGGGAGCTGTTGTTATAAAACAGATAATACTGATTATGACCACGAGATAGAAGATAGAAGACACTTCCATAACTCATTTATGTTGTAAGTTATCTGAAATGTACAGAACTTCTAAAGATGATGAGGCAATTTATATATGCCCAAGAAACCAATAAAATAATTTAGAATATCAGATTGACACATATGTCTAAAATAGATGGTAGTTTGTACCAACTCCTCCTCATTTACTTAAATCTAAGTAAGAGGGTATTGTACAGTGTTAAGATGAAAGAGGACTGATTTGGCATCAGACAGACCTGGAATCTCAACTCTACCACTTACAACCTGGATGACCTTGGGAGAGTCATTTAAGCAGTTTCTTCATGTATAAAGGGGGAGTGTTTGTAATACTATCTTCCTCATAGAATTCTTGTTAATAATGTAGTTGTAATGCCTAGAATGATAAATTATACATGTAGGAGTTCAATAAATAACCACCATTGTTATTATAACAGTATTTCTAATGATCATTTTCTTTTAAGTCTTTTAATTCATAAAATTTCATGATCAAAAAAAGTAAACTCATTATGCTTCATTTCTGATGTGAAGTTCTTGTAGGATTATTTCTTAATCACATTGCCTTTACTTCAGTCATCTTATGATAGTTTGGTACATCGTTTGGGGTAAATGAACTTGAAGTTGGAGATTGGTGCACTGAAGTTTATTTTGCTGGCTTTCTGGGTTACTATCCTACTGAAGTCAAATTTATAGCTCAGAATTGCTGCTTCTGGGCTAGAGGAAAGGCAAAAGTGATAATGGCCTACTCCTAGGAAAGGAAAAGAAAAAAGGACAGCTCAAGAATCCCTCTGCTATTCTAGTGATTGGTACCATTATTGCAACCACTACGAACTGTGAGGCCATCATCTTTTGTGTTGCAAAGGCCATCTTTCACGGGTCTATTAGTCCTATTAGATAAGAAGAAAAAGCAGTTGCTAAGTTTGATTGTTATAATTTTTATATCAACAGAATGTTTTATAAAGCTATTTGTTGGCAATCTTTTAAGATTCACCTCAACTGTTTCTGAATATTGACATTTTTAGTTCATTAAACTCAAGAATTTGTCTTTTATTTCTTTGCATTCACATGGTGTTTAAGATAGAGTCTTGCATACAGTATGTTTTTAAATAAAAGTTAATCGATTTAAACATCCTTATTTTCCCTGATGACACTTTTTATGATTTTTTTTGAGAAATATAACAATATGAATTATTTCAAAGCTTTCCTACCCTAACCACTGTGCTTGTAACCATCTGTAAATAATGCAGACAAAAAAAGGCATACAGAATAGTGATTGGAATACAGCCTATTATCCCTAGAAGTTATTAAAATGGGTATAACAAACACCTATTAAACATGAAGTCGGCATAAGAACTATGATTAAGCAATAAATCAACCTGAAGAACTCTGCCTATATAAGGCAGAAAAGATCAGAGACTTATTTTCCTCAAATCCAGGTTCACCAGTGATCATCTTCCAAGATATTGACTTTACGGCCATCTAAGTTTTATAATTATTGTTTTATTAAAAGAATAAAAATGCACTTTTATTTTCAAATTTTTGGAAAATAAAGACATATGTCTGGTAATTTATTCCAACGTGGTTCCCAATGAACCACTTCTACCAGAATTCAAGACCTCATTTAGGCCTCTCTCACAGTGAATCGGGGCTGGCCTTATGATTTGCTTGATTTAATAGAATATGGTAAAAGTGGGGTGTGAAAGTTTTAGGTCTAGGCCTTAAGAAGCCTGCAGCTATTTCTTTGCCCTGAGATACTATATAAAGAGGACCAATGCCATTTATTTGAGGATGAGAGTTCTCGTGGAAAGGTAGGACCTATTGCGGTAAGACTAAAAGGAGAAAGACACTGAGCCAGATCCTAGCCATTTCAGCCATACCGGCTTAGGAACTTGACACCTGGATGAAAACCTTCATGAATTCTTCAGTTCCAGTCAAGTGGCAAGCTGACTTCAAATGCATGAGTGAGCCCAGTTAACACCACATGGAGCAGAGATAAGCTGCCCAATTGGACCCAGTTGATATTTCAGAAATGTTAGCATGTAATGGTTGTGTTATTTAAGCACTAAATTTGGAGACAGTTTGTTATGTGGTAATAATTAACTGTTACCTTATATATAATAAAGTTCTGTGTAATCCTACCACTTACGCATAAATTAATGTTTTAGAGTAGTTCATACTGTGTAGAGTTTGTAACTTGCTTTTTTTCATTAAACATTGTATCATGAATATTTTCTCATGTAATAAATCTTCAAAAATATTTAGATTTTATAAGAAAAAAAAGACAAAAAATAAAATCACCAAAACAAAAATACCATAAAATAGACTTTAAAAAGTGAGTAATTTACGTTTCTCTATTAATGATAGCATAAATATATATGGGATCTGGGCTATGCTGTGTATTAGTTGTCTATTGCTGTGAAACAGATCACACCAGAACTTAGTGACTCAAAACAACAATAAACATTTATTGTATCTCATAGTTTCTGTTGGACAACTCAAGAGTGGCTTAACTTCGTGGTTCTGGATTGGGCTCTGGCATGAGGATGTAGTCAAGATGTTGGAGGGGCTGCAGTCATCTGAAGGCCTTATTGGGGCTGGCATATTCACTTCTCATGTGGCTTACTCAAGAGGCTGGCAAGTTAGTCCTTGCTGGTTGTGTTATTGGTGGGAGACTTCAGTTCTTCCCTTCTGGGGCATCTGCACAGGTTTGGCTGAGTGTTTTCATGACATGGTGGCTGGTTTCTCCCAGAGCAAGTGATACAAGAGCCCAAAGTGGAAGCCACAATGATTTTTATAGCCTAGTTGGTCACACTGGTCAGCCCTATTCAGTAATATAAATCACCTTTGCTGAAATATATAACAATAGAAATAACCATTAGAAACATGTTGACAATAACGGAATCAGATAGGATAATGAGTCAAAACTGCCATAGAGTAAAAATTGTCTCACTGAATTATAGCCTTGAGACTTGAGACATAAGGATGGTGTAGTTGTGGAAAAAAAACTTTATATATCCTTTCTGGAAGAAAAATTTCTATTTGTTGCTAAAATCATAAATGGTGGAGAATAGGTTAATAATAAGTGGAGAAAATAAATTAAATTGGACTTTAGTATATCAGTAAGATGGTATGTTAAGAAAAATCCTCCACCCTTGAATTAAAAACAATTCTGTGTTGATTAATTTATGCAGAAAACAGAAACTGAAAAGCAACTTGAAACCATTAAAAAATGTTTTAATGCTGTTAATACACATAGAATGAATCTACACAAAGTGAAGTAGAGTTAAGATTATTTTCTAATGGATGAAATAGGTTTATAACCTAGATAGTTTGGAAAACACAGGTATCACTAGAAAAGATTGTTTTTAGTAACTTTTCTTTTGCTGATTTACCCACAAAAACCAAACTGATACATGGACTCCTTGTATGTTAAAAACTGGAAGATACCTTGGCATTCAGCAAGATATTCAATACAATAATTCCTCCTGTAGTCTTTATTATAGATGTTTATTTTTTGCTTGGATATCTGTGTTGGGCTATTCTAGTTTTTTGGGGGGGGGGGGGGTTTGGGAGAGCAGTTCTGCAAAGACCTTTCCTGGGTGGTGCCTTCCAGAGTGGGGGACACGTGCCCACATGGCTATAATCAGGCATTGCTCCCAGCCCCCTGACACCCCAGTTTCATGAGCTCTGGGCAACACAGCTACTTCTCCAGGGCTGCATAATTGAGCAGCTTCTCGATCAGATCCACGTGGGTCAGCAGCGCGTGGCGGCAGCAGTGGCGCTTCAGGCCTAGCGGGTCCAGGGCGTCCTCCTCGGCACACTCTGCCTGCAGCAGCGCCAGGTAGGCCCACTTGTTGCTGACCATCTTGCCGCAGGTGAAGCAGCGTTCAGGGATGATCATAGCCACAGCTTGGCCGGGCTGGGCCGGTCCCACGGGCTCATTTATTTTTTTTAAATTTCTTTTTCTTGGGGGGGTGGGTGGGCGTTGAGTCAAAAGGTAACACTTTGTAATTCATCTTTTTCTGCCTTTACAGTAACAAATAATTAATCTACCCCTGTTTCTATATGACACAGTCCTTTCAAGTATCTACCTTCACTTTCCTTCTCTAGGACATATATACCAAGATCCAGACTGCTCACAGGTAGTATTCATTGCTACTGCCTCCTACTTTACGACTTCATTTTGCCTCACTGTGCTAAGGTAAAAGCAGTCTCAAGACTTGACTAGAAAATATACCTTTATCTGATGGAATTTGAATTTAATACTTCACTAGACCGTAAGCTCCATGGAGACCGGGACTACGTATTTTTACTCGGCATTGTATTCCTACTACCTAGCAAAGTGCCTAATACTTAATAAATATTTTTTGAATGGATAAATGAATATGGTTCAACTCAGTGTGCACGTCGTTTTGCTAGATCCTGGACTTGTCCCTTTCTTAAAATTTCAAGGTTACATTACCAGTGGAAAATAATACTTTGTATTTTTTAAAAGTTTACCGTAACATTTCAAAATACAGTATTTTGCAAATAATTAGTGAATTATCCCTATACCATTGGACAGTATGCCTTTTATTGAACTAGCACTGCCCTAATGCCCTAAAAGCATTTTTTAAAACCATGAAAAGGAAAAGCATATTATGTCCAGTGAAAAAGGAGCAAGAACAATTCTGTGAACTTAAAAAAGACCACATGACAAAGATAGCCCCTTTATTCTTATAAAAGACAACCACAGGATTTTATAATTCCTTTTGAAAAAACAGAAGAAAGGAAACAAATAAAAAACACCTCTTTCTTCTATTTGGGAATCACTGGATTTAGATATGATTCATAATAAGGACTCCTTACTGTATCATCTGCACACTTTCTGGGATTTACTAAAGCTGTTTGTTGTAAGTATAGATTTAGCCTTATTTTATTAAGCTTGTAGTAACTGACAGAATCGATCTCAAAAATAAGAAATTTATTTTACATGGAAGCTATTTATTGCAATTAATGGGATGATCTTGTCTGTCATGTCAAACTTAAGTGGAGTCTACTTACTTGCTCTAGTCATTCAATAGTTACTATCAAAGCTGCCAAAATATTGGCTTTAAAAATCCCCAACTCAATTATTTGAGTGCAACCCAATTAACCAAGGTATAGTCAGTACATCAGGGCAAAGTGAAGAGTCCTTAAAACTCACAAATAAGACTACTTTATATTTTAGGTGAGATTAGCTGTTTGTGGAAATAATGTGTGGTTGAGATTGTCCATGGCTCATATAAAATATCCTTCCAAATTTAATTTTCTCAGAATCATTGCTTACAAAGCTACTTTCTGATTAGTAAGTCAGCCTTCTGCATATTTTGATTTGCAGAAGAAGATTCTCTGAATAATAGACAGACCTATGCCCATGATCTTTGGAAAAAACGTGTTCATTATAAGTGAATTTGTTGTTTCATGAATCAGCTTCGAAAGAGTTTAGCCAGCCTAAATTGTCTTCAGAAAACTCTTCAATTCTGGGTGCACTGAAAACAACAACAAATAACTTCCTTGGGCATAAAGATATAGCTAGTATATTATGAGCTTTTAAAAAATATGTGTAGATGGTGAACATCACACATATTTTATCCCTAATCTCTCACTTAACTTATTCTAAACATCTTAAAGCACTACACCATAGTTATCAATATAGTGAGCAGATATCACTATTATTTGATAAAATTCTAATTTGGGCACACAATTTTGGCAGTATGCAAAGTACCAATTGGTTCAACTCATTAAACTTTTCAGAGATATGACCTGAATTTGACAAAGGAGTGAGGGCTGGCTTGTCAAATGTTGTATTTGCCTAGTATTTTGGCACCATCAGTACAACAATAACTACGTAGCAACAGAGTCCACCATATCTGTGAAGAAAATATTTCAGAATTGCACAACATTATCTAGTTCAAAATGTGTATAGGAGATCCACTATATAAAGATGAAACATGTTCTTTAACAGTTGTAATCAAATTTTGACTGTCATGTTTTAAATGAAAAATTCTGGTGTCTTAAGAAAGAAATCTTTGCTGTTCAAAAGAGTCCCTAAAACTATTATAGTCTATTCACAGAACCATGAAAACTGAGAAGAATATGAATATTTATTTAGATAATATAATAGCAATATAATACAATATGTGGGTATGGTAGGCAGAAAAAAAGTGGCACCCCAAAGATATATTAACTTCCTAATTCTGAGAACTTGTCAATATTATATGGCAAAAGATGCTGTGAAGTTAAGAATCTTGATAGAAGAAGCTTATCCTGAACTATCTGGTAGGCCCTAAATGCAATCACATATACTTATAAGGGTGAGACAGAGGGAGATTAGACATGCAGAAGAGGAGAAGATATGCTGAAGACAAGACAATATGAAGGCAGAGCAGATAGAGTTATGGCCACAGCCAAGGGATGTCAACAACCACCAGAAGCCGGGAAAGGCAGGGAATGGATTCTCCCCAGGCTCTGGAGATAGTACGATCCTCTGACACCTTGGCCTTCTGGCCTCCAGAACTGTGAGAGAATAAATTTCTATTGTTTTCAGGCACAAAGTTTGTGGAAATTTGTTACAGCATCCACAGGAAACTAATACAATCGGGTATAGGCGCAGAAGGTTTTTTCCTCTCCAACTTAAAAATTATGCTACTTCTTTTAGTATTGTGTTACAGATGGAAAGAACATAGTTGAATCTTAATGAAATATGTTGTAGTCTGATAAGATTGTATGATGTTTTGCTATATCTAATTATTCTTCATTTTTAATGATTAAGATTCTTATATGCTCGTGTTATCAAAAGCATTTGGCTAGACTGGTAAGGTGTTAGGATGATAAAAATTAGGTTGAAGTTTAATTTATGTTTGTCATCATATTTAAAAATATATGAATAAAAACACAGTAACAACATATGGTGCTCCTTTTTCTTTTCTCTCTGACTTTCCAGGTTTAGCAGTGCACATTCTAGTCAAAGAAAGGAAAACTTCTCTTAGATTCTGTGCTTGAGCTTTGCATTTATAGGTAATTCATGTGTGAAATTCTTCTTTTCTTTTCTTTCTTCATTCTCTGAATGTTTATTAAGTGGCTGTTATGTGCCATGGACTGTTCAAAATGCTGGAAATATGGCAGTAGATGAGGCAGATGCAGTCTTTGTCTGCAGGGTCACCACTAGCCTATTAGTGCCTTTGCAAATTTTAAAAATTAGTAAAGGGAACCTCCTTTCATCAGTCACAGCCTGAGGGAATAGGGTTTGTCCAGTGGAGTAAGTCCTGGATTTTAGTTCCACTTGCTCCCTTCACTGGGCGCTTTTGTGCAGAGCACAACCTGTATGGCTATAGGCAGAACCCTGCTATGTCTCAAGATGCTTATTATGTAGTCACAGCATATGTTTTTTTTTTTTATCAGTTAGTACCTCCAGCATTTTTTTCTTTGAAAAAGGGGCAAAAATTATTTCTGAGTTGTTGAATGAAGCAGGCTCCATTTCCAAATAAGATTATGTGTAATGGAGAATGGAGAAGCTGAGAAGGTGAATATTGATACTTTCCTCTATTGTGTGCTTTCCTTTCATAGAAGCTGGTGGGTTTATCTTGACAGGTTCTTATGAAACAAATTCTTACCCCACAAGTCAGAGAATTTGTTCTATCTTGTGTTTTCCAGAAGATGCAATGCTGAAGAAAAAGCCTTGTACACACTGGGTAAGAAACCCGCTACTGTAATGCTTGGGAATATTTTGTGGACTGTGGGTTGCTAAAATTTGTGGAGAGGTGTTAACAGAATGCGAGAAACTGTTTGGGAGAATGATATATTGAATGAACAAAATATCACAAGAGTATTTATCTAGAGCTACAACTCAAATATGTATGGAGAAAATGCCACTATTTTGGGATTACTCAGAATTATCACATGAAAAAGATGGGAAAGTTCTTGAATTTTTAGTATACTTTGTCTTTTCACCAGCAGCAAAAATGCATGTGAATAAATTGTTCATATCTCTTCCCAAAGTGAAGATATATTTGTATGTTTTAAAAAGAAAAAGATTGTCCATTGCAAAGCTGAGAAAATTGTGTTGGGCTGTGTGTATGTGTGCATGCGATAAATACGCACTTTTTTCTAAAATGATAATAAGACATGAAAGTTTTCTCATATTTCCCTATCATTGCATAGGGATTTAGGGACAAAAATAACTGATAAATGATTTTTTGAGTCAACAGAAAAATTCCTGAATCAGTAATTTAGCTTGCCAAATGGAGGCTGATGTACAAGAAAGATTTGTATTTTAGGGAGTGGGAGTGGAGCAAAGGTTGGGAAGGAGGAAAAAAAAGTAACTGACAACAGGCTGAAAATCGTTAGGAGGGAGCCAAGAAAGAAAGACAGAGCCAAGATCTGGAAGATTCATTCCATCCTAAAATAAGTATCTTCACTGTTTAGTTAGTTTGAGGGAATGGTTTATGTTAAAACTGCCTGTATGTGGCATAACTCACTATAAACTTTCTCTTGACATGACTGAACCACTCATTCAGTCATAATTAGGTTGATCAAAATAGATAAGGTTCTTTTTTGAGTTCCAACATAGATTATGTTATTACATCATGCAACTGAGTGTGATACAAAACTGCACTTGAACAGAGGTGAGATGTCTTAAAATTAGCCTTATTTTTCACTTACTTTTTGTTTTTTTTGGCCTACAATGAACAGGAAACTTCTTTACAGAGTAAAGAATAATTTTTCTTTTCTTCAATTTCCATAATGGTTGAATATGAAAGGCAGATTTTATCTTCTTTTATGGTATCCTCCCAGTCTAGATTAAAAAAAAAAAGACCAGAGGGTTAAATGTCTGTAGTTTATACAACTATACTTGCTCTAATTGTGAGCTTGGAACATGGG